GGACTTGGTTACTATACGTTAACTGTGGATTGAACAAATTGTGTCATCATTGGACGTTTATCAGCATCTTTGCCTCTGAAAGGAGATAAGTATTGTCTATGTGCACTGTTTACATGGCCGTACACAGATCAAATGCCTGATTAAAGGTGGATTACCCAGGCTGTCGTTTGAGTGGATACTGATCTGGAGGCATATCAATCCCTGAGTTATTCAAACAACTCACCACTTTATACTCCTCATAGAGACTATTTGAAAATGAACATACTACCGAGCATGCTATATTTATTCCAAACGGTACCTATACACTTACCCACCTCTTATTTAAGCACTTTAAAATCGGTTGGAAACGATCCACAGCTAGAATTTCACATAGAACTTTAGCGATGGCTAAAAATGCAGGTGGATTAGCACTACCAGATTTCACTATATATTATCAAGCAGTGGCACTTAATAGAATGTTAGACTGGCACTATCACATTCAAACTAAATTATGGGTATCACTAGAAAATGTATTATCAGGACAATGTTTGTCGAGTATATGTTGGATACCACAAAAAACTCGCTATTTGGAATGTTGTATATCCCTTTGACCAGGGCTCAAAATGTCAAGTCCTAAGCTACTAGCCAAGCCAGAAAAGTTACTCGCCACCAGTTGCCCACCAAAGATCAGGGTGTGACGCACAGTACAGAGGTCAGTACACAGTACAGAGGTCAGTGGTCAGTATGTAACGCAGTGCAGAGGTCACAAAGAAAGTACAGGGACTTACAGTTGCCTTGACCTCTTCTTCTCCTGGTGATGGTGGGGGAGCAGCGAGGTTGCCTGCACGTCCAGCCGGCTCCAGGTGCTCTCTCTCCCGCGCAGCAGAAGCCGGCCAACTGCGGTTCTGCAGTCTTCCTCTCCCAACAATGGCAGCTGAGATGGGTGGAGGAAACTGCTGTGGCCACGAGGAGCCCAATCGAAGAGGACACAGATGATGGCAGTGGAGCTTCTTGTTCTCTTCTTCCCGCCACTGCAGTCTTAAAGAGGCCCCCCTCCCAGTCCACATCTTTCGGACGTTATTAATCTGAGTTGCCCCACTCAGTATGCCCCTCGCTTGCTGTCATATTGAGTGGGGCACTAAGATTAATAATGTGCTGGACTAGTCTGACCCAGGGGCGGACTGGGCCCGGGGGCAGGGTGGCAATTGCCCCCCAAAGCCTCTCTGATACCTTTGTAAACGCCCCCACCGCCGCCATAAGCATGTAATCTCTCCCCTCTCGGTCGCTCTGCTGCTGCAGCGACCAAGAGGGAAGAGATGAAGTCCTTGCCGTGGCGGGGGGCGTTTGCAAAGGTATCAGAGAGGCCTGGGGGGCAATTGCCACCCTACCCCGGGCCTAGTCTGCCCCTGGGTCAGACTAATCCAGCACGTTATTAATATGAGTGCCCCACTGAATATGGCCGCAAGCGAGGGGCATACTGAGTGGGCAACTCAGATTAATAACGCCCAAAAGATGTGGACTGGGAGGGGGGCCTCTTTAAGACTGCTCAGAATCACACCGCTGAACGATCACCTCTTCTCCCGATCGCTCCAGCTTCAGCTCCAGGAAGCGAGCACTCAGAGAGGCAGCAACGATCACACCTGTCAGCGTTCCCTCTCTCTGCTCCCGGCCGCTGCAGCTTCAGAGTGGCCAGAAGGAGAGAGAGGGAGCGATAACGGGTGTAATCAGAGCCGCCTCTCTGAGTGGAGCTGAAGCGGCCGGGACGAAAGAGAGGGAGCGCAGAGAGTTAGCTCCGGCTCTGGATGGAACACTACCGCTGCGGCAAGCGTTCGCTTCTGTTCTTTCTTCTCCTTCTCGGGCTCGGCCGCTCTGTAGCTGCAGCAGGCGAGAAAGAGAATAGAAAACAGAAGCGAGCGATCGGTTGCCGCGGCAGTAGTGTCCCATCCCTAGTCCCGCCGGCGAGGCACCATTGCTGACATTCCACTCGCCCCCCCGCAGTTTTCACTCGCCAATTGCGAGGGGGCGAGTGGAAATTTTGAGGCCTGCCTTTGACTATTCACACTCTTGTCATATGGGATACGCTATATAGAGGTCTGATGGCAAATATAACTCTCCATTGATGCCTTTAACGGGTCATTCTTATTTCTTACCGGGATTACACAATAGTGGATTTTAGCATTGGACTACACATCAAACATTGAGACTTTTTCAGGTTCATGATGGGAAACATATATATTCATTACAACGCCTCCGAGATCAATGGGGGGTGTCTCCCTTTGATACATGGAGATATTGACAATTACATAATTTTGTGTCTAAACTCCCAATGCCAATACGCTCTGATAAAGAACTTTTACCAATGGAGAGACTGTTTTTTCTACCAGACTTCCCGAGACATGGTATTTCACGAATTTACTCGATTCTTCTTAATTTCTGCTCCCAACTATTCCCAAACTATTTAACGATGTGGGAACGGGAACTTCAAATTAAATGGACTGACTCATGTAAACAACAAATTCTTCGGGCTGACTAGGTACTATCAATCAGTACGCTAGTGACAGATATAACATCGTTTTTTAGCAAGATGGTACTATACACCAGATCGAATACATAAGATGCACCCATCTAAACCGACAGAATGCTGGCGGGGATGTGGAGCAGTAGGTACTTACTTGCATATATGGTGGTACTGTCCTAGACTTAAATTGTTCTGGACTCAAGTGGTTAATTATATTAAACAAATTACCAGTATAACTATATCTAATAATCCATTGGCGTGTCTTCTTCATGTGACAGATATACCTATGCTGAGTTATAAAAGAACATTAGTCCCTATATTTCTTAATGCAGCTAAGGCTTTAATTCCCGTGTACTGGAACAAAATGATGGTAGCAACTATAACAGAATGGTTTCATAAAATAGAATACTATAAATTAATGGAAGACTTAACGGCTATTAAATATGAACAACAGGAGAAAAATTAACCTAAATGGAAACCATGGGTTTTGTTTAAGCAAAGATTGGATAATATTGAGACTCCTTGATTGTGATTCTGGTAGTATAACACAATGTGAATTTAACAGTAATTGAGTTACAGATCATGAATTCTAAAGAAGAGTATGTAAAGATATAATATGTCTTTGGCACTATGTTAAGATATGGATAGGATTGGCTACCTACATATATTTAAATATTTACATGTTATGTTAATGTATATGGTTAGTTATGTACATATACCTTCCAGTCACTAATCTTTAGGTTTTTAGAAATGATATGTGTAATCAAATATAAAATAATGGATTAAAATAATGTATGTATTTATTTTGTAAAAATACATGTAAAGTACTATAATTATATCAAATGTTATATTTTAAATTCTTTAAAATAATAAAAAGATATAAATAATACAAAAAAAATTGTCTATGTGCACTGGTTACATGGCCGTACACAGATCAAATGCCTGATTAGAGGTGGATTACCCAGGCTGTCGTTTGAGCGGATACTGATCTGGAGGCATATCAATCCCTGAGTTGTTCAAACAACTCACCACTTTATACTCCTCATAGAGACTATTTGTCCTCTACACACATTACGTCTGGCTACAAAAACATTTCTTAGCCAGTATGATAGTGATGACCTTGCTTTTTCAGACATACTTTATATATGCATGTCGGTGTAACGTGCATCACGCTTGAACGCATGATATTATATGCTGATATACTTACTTTGAAGTTTTTCTTTTGGAGATACATTGCTGGATATCCTTGAAAATTGTGTCATACAAACCATCCTAAGGATATCATTGCTGGTGGTTACGCTATGCTTACATTCATGCTGATTCATTCACTCCAATTTTGTTTTTGTTTTGTTTTTTTCTGGAGACACATTGTTGGATACCTTTAAAAATTGTATCATATTAACCATCCTGGGGATACTGTTGCTGGTGGCCACCAGTCACGATTGGGATCGATATTATATTGATATACACAATATATGGTGTTGTCCATGATTATTGCATTTGTACAGAGTCATGTGTAGGGTACATTTTAGGATTTTAGATGTTTGTCTGATGTATATTTATAGTGTTTGCAAATTTTTGGAATAAAACTATTTTCATTGAACATAAATTGATAGACTTTTGAATATCAACCAAAAATCCAGAAAAAAACACATGATACAAATGGTAAAAATTGAGTTGCACTTCAGTGAGTAAAATAAGTATTTGATCCCCAAGCAAAACACCATCCCTACAATGAAGCACGGAGGTGGAAACATTATGCTTTGGGGCTGTTTCTTTGCCAAAGGTACAGGCCTACTTTTCCACATTGAGGGGCCAATGGACAGGGCCATGTATTGTAAAATCTTGGATGAGAACCTCCTTCCCTCACCCAGAACACCAAAGATGGGTCGTGGATGGGTCTTTCAGCATGACAATGACCCATAAACATACCACCAAGGCAACAAAGCAGTGGTTCAAGAAGAGGCACCTTAAGGTCACGAAGTGGCCTAGTCAGTCTCCAGCCCGTAATCCTATAGAAAATATATGGAGGGAGCTGAAATTTCGAGTTGCCAAGCTACAGCCAAGAAACCTTAAGGATTTAGAGAAGATCTGTAAAGAAGAGTGGACCAAAATCTCACCTGAGATGTGTGCAAACCTGGGAACCAACTACAAGAAACGTCTTACCTCTGTGCTTGCCCACAAATGTTTCTCCACCAAGTACTAAGTCATGTTTTGCTTGGGGATCAAATACTTATTTTACTCACTGAACTGCAACTCAATTTATAACATTTGTATGATGTGTCTTTTCTGGCTTGTTGGTTGATATTCTGTCTCTATCATTTAAAATACACCTCGGATAAAAATTATAGACCTTTCATTTCTTTGTAAGTGGGCAAACTTATAAAATCTGCAGGGGACCAAATAATTATTTTTCACACTGTATGTATTATCCTCACAAGTATCATAACAGTGAATTTAGGATTTAGAAAAATAACTGGAAAAAAATTACAGTAAAACAGTATGTAAAACCTTTATTAAGTAAAATGATTAACATATATATTTTGGTGCTGTAATGCATTCTGTTGTCATTTAGACTGCAATTTGTGCAGCAGAAGGGATGCTTATGGTAGCATTATGCATAGTATCCTCAATAAAATTTATGTAGGGTTGTGAACGAGTGTAGATACCTGGCCGCTTAACATTACCACAGACACGATATCCAGAAGACACTGTAGCCTCCAGCACTCCATCACACACCAAGGGTCCCCCGGAGTCTCCCTGAGGGTTTAAAAAGTTATTGATTTAGAGTTTTTTATAGTGTACTCTTTGCAAGGGTTAAACTTTAAAAAAAACCATATAACTGTTCTTGGTAAAATGGACTTAGCCTGAAAATGCAAGGTCTGCTTTTCTTGGAGCTCCCACCTCCCAAAATAAAAAAACAGTAAATTAAACTTCAAAGTCTGGCTCATGTCTGCTTCCTGGAGGTGCCAGTGACATCTTGCACTGTGCTTTCATAGGACCTCAAGGACCCAGCATCCCCAGGAGGCAGCGGTGAGGAACAGTTATGTCACTGGCACCTCTAGGAAGCAGAAGGACGCTAGTGTCAAAGATAAGGGACCAGTAAGTTAAAGGATTACTATACCAAAGTTAGGTTGTCTTTTATGTGTCCTCCATGGTGCCAGACAGTATAAACAGTGAATATATCAGAATGTTCATAGTAGCAAACAAACAGCAACTTTTGGCACATGTAGAAAGGATGACATTATCATTCAACACACATCCTTACCTCACATGAGTCTTGTTTCCCAGTCCCTGCACAAATCATGTTTGGAGTGATTTCATCTTGGTAGTAACCCCGACCATTACAAACACTTCTGGCGATAATAGGTACCAACACCTCCTGAAGCTGGTCAGGTTTCTTCCCTGTGCGCTTTATTTTTCCCCAGCCAGCTACCAGGCACAGAGTACCTGCAGGAATCTCTCTGTCTTCACGTTGGAGTTGTATGGGCTTCACTTTATCACTCAGTGTGACATTTTGTGCTAGCTGAAAATAAAAAAGGTTCATTCCATATGGAGAATGTCATATTGGTATGCCCACAAAGCTTTTCGTTTATATGTGGTATGGCCACAAGAAATGAAAGGTACAAATGTTTCAATACATGGTGGGCTTGTAGATATGTTTAATTTCAGAATCAGTGCCCAATCGGTGTTAATTTTGGCACCGAATTTCATTTTCGTTTCAGTCTTTTGACGAAAATTAATTTTAATTTTTAGTCACATTTTAGTCATCAGATTAATTTTTATTTTAGTCTAGTTTTAGTTGATGAAATTCAAGTCGGTTTTAGTTGACGAAAAGTAAAGTCAATTTTGGTTGACTAAAATCTAATAGGCTTATTTTTGGTGTAATGCATTATTTAAGCAATTCTCTAGCATTTCAAAACTCTTTTTATTACATAACCCTGGAGTCATTTTTAATTTGATTTAACTTGTATTTTTTACATTTTTTTTAAACCTCATTGCTATCACATGGGGGGGGGGGGGGGCGGGGGATAAGAAGCCCCCTATGCGATAGCCAATTTA